TGAAGTAAATCAAAATATTGAAGATGAACATGTTCATAGTTTTGTACGGAAGATCCGTCGCGTAGCTCGCTATTGCCTGGGCAGACTGATGATAAAACGCATATCTATTATGCTTTTCCACCACAGGTCGTTCCGCGTACACTCCGAGCACCTATGGTCAATCAGCTTCCGTTAGATAGTAAAAACAAAGATTGCTGATCATACCTCAAGCTGGCTAGAAAAAGCATTGAAGAGCAGGGAAAAGAAGATTAGGCCGCCACGATAATAAAACGTAGATGTGTTATCCTTTAAGTCGTAGAACATGCTACCGAGAATGAGAGCCATGATAACGTTGAAAAACAAGGATGCAATCGTAAAACCCGGATCGGCTTTTAGTCTTTTATAGCCGCGCCACAGCGTTAGAGAGACTTGCTGAGCATAAGAGATTGTATAAGGTGACTTCGAGCGCTGAATCTTTGCCTGTTCAGCTCGCCGTGACGTTTGGTATTCGGGTAATCGCTTCTCCGGTGGATGTTTCTGCTTATATTCATCAAGTTCCTTGAGGAGATCTTGGCGTTGCTTGCTGCTCTGCCATCTTGCGGCGAACTCATCGGGCGTCCGCGGCACACGGCTCTCAAATCCTCGTTTAGGTTGACGTTCATTTGGGCTGGTCATAGAGGTCAAGAAATCGGGGATTGTTTGTCTGTCCGGGCCTGGTGAGATGTTCAGTAGTTGACTTTGTAGAGGGGGCCGGAGTACCTACACTCGAATCCCAAAGCCTCAAAGTAATGTTTTGCGTCTGAAACTCTCCCAAAGAAGATCTGGCGGCCGTCATATAGAACTGTGACACGATCGAAAAGCTATCTGGAGATGAGTGTCATGCAATGCAAGAGCAAAGTGGCCACCAAAACTTACATCATACGCAGATTGAGGTGCTTGATAAATAGCTACCGCAGCTGCAACTCCAAGTAGATCTGCTTGAATTTTTAAATTTTTACAGAAGTTGATAGCATTTGCACTATCCAAGCCCCTAGTAGAGTTATCCCAGCATTGAAACTTGGCCATTGTGAGCGCAGCTTCCGCGATGCTGACACGTTTGCGTTCGCCACCGCTGACTCCTCTTACAAAATCGTCGCCCACTCGTGTATCAATCGTTGCGTTAAGCCAAATATTGCCATCATGACGTCTCGCATCATTGTGTCCGCTTGCTCGCGAGTGAATCCTCCTGGGACGTGACGTACGGAGCGAGCCCTGGCGGCAAATGTGAGCGTTTCACCTACAGTGAGATGGGCGAGATGTGTGTCGACTTCGGCATTATAAAGAACATCACCACGGAAAGAGGATCGAATGTGGCCATAGTTGATACCTTCGATGATCCATTAGTCTCATTCAAGAATCACCTCTCGATTCTCCCCCGACATACCTCGAAAATTCATATATGCATCAGAATTTATCTCGAGACCTGCTGTTTCTCCTGCGATAGCCTTGAGCAAAGTTGAGCAACCGGAGCCGGGGGGACCGAGCACCAGTAGCAATTCTCCCTCTTCCACGACACCTTCAAAGTTGCGAAGAATATCTATGCGCCGTCTCTTGCTGTTTCCGCTCATCAGGCTCATTAACGAAGATATGGCCCCAAATAGAACACTGCCAGCACTCTTTTGGTATTCTGCACCGGTGCTCCATCCAAACACATTCAAATTCCGAAACGCAACGCCAAGACTACGTGACGGGGCAGAACGAGGATCTGAGTCTGAAAGGCGGACGAAAGCTTTAACCCATGATCTGGCATCGAAAGTCGGAGATTTAGGGTCCAACCGAGTTCCCGGCTCAGGACTCAACGCGTGAAGTTCGGATTCCACTGTGGTCGAGACACGGGTCAATCGCTGGGCAAGCTCTTCAATTTCTTCCTCCATATTATCTACCGAGGACTCTTGGTTGGAGGTCTGGTGGCTGATTTTCGGGTCCATTTGTGTCAAAATCGCCCGTCAACAAGACTTATTGGACTGGTTTTTCTAAGATGTGATGTGGTCGATGCCTCCGGTGTTCGAAGTCAAGGAATGCTCGCTTTAGAGACCGTATCGAACCGGCATAAAGCAAACTTGAGAAAATCACGAGAAGCTCGATAGTTTTATCGTGGTTAGAATAGTAAAGCTATTTATCCTAAGGGTTCGAATATACAGCACCCGAATGGCGAGGCTAGGGTATCCACCGACCTCCTACTACACGCGTACGACTTGAACGTTGTACCGATCAAATCCCGAATCAAACGACAACCGGCTCACTGAGGTCTTTCGTAACATTTTGCGCTGCTAGGCTTTCATTGCGGCCCGTGCGGTATTTGCTTGCTTGATGAAGACGGGACAATAACAAATCCACGGGCCTGAGTGCCAAGCCCCGAACCCCGAAGTGTGGCGCGCCAACCTCAGAAACGCCCAGAGTCTCTACTAGATCCACCGAAGAGAACATGATAGGCCAAGTTACTCACATACGTAACCTTTTCTCAAGCTTAGACCTGCGCCGCACAGAGTTCAGTCCAGGATCATCATAGCGGGCTCCGCGGCCCGGCCCCGCGGGACCGACTGGCTCCTTTTGTTTCCTTTCCTACCTTGCCTATCACAAACTTCCATAAAACACAGATTTCTTACGTAGTAGCGTTAACCCCCTCACACGGAAACACACGGCTATATAGGGATTGTTTCCCCCTGAGGCATTTCGAAGTGCATTTCGCGTTGGGAAGTGGGCTTCATGCGCAACGAAACGCAACTTGAACCTCATCTTTGGTAGCTCGAGTCTGTAAGTATATCTTCATATAATGTATCTTTTGAGCAAGCGCATAATCAACGTCGGAAGAGAGGATTTTGAACTCGGCGAGAAGGTCTGTACAAGCTACTGAGATAGGCTAGATAGCACCTCGACAAGCTTATACGGAAGAATGATATTTGGATAGTTTTTGATTTACCTATGAGCTGCTTAGCTAGGCTAAAATACAACTCGACAAGGTCTGGCGCGCAGTAAAGTGGCTGTGCAAGCTGTATAAGTAACATACCTCGTGTTATCTCGGTGATATAGTGCCGAAGAGCAATCGCCCGGCCCGTATTGATTATGAACCCCCGGAAACATTTGTTCAGCTCGTAGTGAGCAGAAGAGAGCTCCTCGTGTGTGACACAAGGTTATCAGGAAGGATAATAATTAATTACAATCGGGGTTGACTTGATTTACGATAGCAGCACCTAGTTGTCAAGAGCCAGTCTCCGCACCCTAGTGTTTCTTTTGAAAATGGGCTTAGATGCATAGTCTGCGCTTTGTATACCGGCCATGTCCCGCCTGATAAAATGGCATCTAACCCACATTTATCCGTAAGCTCTTCGACATCATTCGAGAACAAAAGAGCCCCTCGTTTTCGAAACTTTGGCCAGACTCCATCGGATAGGATGGCTGAAGCATTTACTTACCAGCCTAGAATACTTACAAACATGCATTTGAAATGACTGACTTAGCTTGGCCAGGCAAAGACGAAGCAAGACTCGTCTCGAGCTGATGAAGGCTGTAATAGAGGCAAATAATTGTTTCCACATAATATTCTTCTCAAACCGGTTCACAATGAAAACAGACGCGGCATTCCCTGGATACAAGCGGTTCCAGATGACGTTCGCGATTATGCGAATCCGTAGTCTGAGCTTGAGCTAGGTTTCTTCATGCTGGCGTCAACCGGACTCGGCGACTTGTAATTATCAAGTATTGTGAGGCAGACATATTTTAGCGTTACATCTTTAACATTAGACGGCCAGAGAAGGAATGGGCTCAGAGGATTTCAAGTTACACAACTTGGAGCTTTTCATGTCTCTTCTTACTCAGTTCTTAAATTGAATAACACCAAATGTATCTAGATTGCTCGGCGGATATCGGGTAGCGCCAAGATTTTGATACAGTGGGCCATGCCGATTGCCGTCATGCCAACAAACTTCCACCTCGAGCATAGCACATGTCATACAAGAGCCATTTAACTACTCGAAAGCTCACTTGAGATCACTGGCACGTCTTATGTGTCAGTATGCCATGTAGTCCTAGGTCACTTGTCGTGTAGTCCGACGGAAGTTGAAGGTGTCTACAGTGTGCCCGAGAACCACTCCAGCCTAAGGGTTCAGAGTAGAGTTTTTTTAAGAATTTTAATTGCTTTTAGAACTCCGTTTTGTCATCAGTCCTCATCATGTGTGTTTTCTTCTTTGCGTGGAAGCCACTGAACGAAAATTGCAATTCCCTTAATCGCCACAAGTTTCTTGATACATAGAGATTTGCTGTCACTGAGCTCACGAATAATGCACTTTTGTGGGCCACATTCCGCTTTTTGTAGGGCTGGCCACGTGGTGGCGTACCTATCACACCGGACCTGCAGCTCCAAGACGATCAGGAAAGTATGATGGCGGATCAGATCCGGAGACTTCTCGTTTCTTAGACATCCAGATTCTCTTATCTATGACTCTGCTTCGTGACCAATTCGAATGGACCTCGAAACCGCAATTGAAGTACGCTGGCCTACCGGATTAGCTTAAGCTTGGTCTTAGGGTCGCCCCAGATGCTCCTTAATCCCGACTAATGCCTTGGCCGGTACCGCGCCGGTGCATTGGGTGCATACAACCATCTAGAATACTAACAATTGTTATCTTTCTTCGCGGCTAGCCGATCGCATCGGCCAGTCGCGTTATTTTTTGTTCAGTGTTATCAATAGTTCGTCGGCTCGGCTCCGACATTCTAGTGCTTTTGCACGGAGTACATGAACAGTATGGCATCACTACTTGTTCTCGACAGCACATATCATTCAAGGCTTTCTATCATACCTAGCCACACCTTCTCAACAACCCTACTTCGGCCCCGGCTGTAACCCGAACATAGCAAATAGGTAGTCGAACATCAGCATTACATTGCATTCAAATCCATAAGCATGAGGAAATTAATTCCATTGTGTATTATCGGGGGATCAATTCAGGTCGCAAATGCGTTCACTGAAACCACCTTGAACGTCAATGGAATCCGATATTATGTGCCCCATCTTGAAATCGTGAGTCACCCTATGCTAATTGGAGGTTTGACACGCTCTAATAGCAATAGGCAAAAATCAACGGATTGAAAATCGATGCGTCTTTGACAACCCTCAGGCCTTTTGTGGTTGTTTCAGCTCAAAACCCAAGCATCTCTGCCGATTACATCAGTTCCAAACTTGCTGATTATGCCGCTCAAGATGATGTTTACTCGGAATATTTCTCTGAGCGTAATTATCCCTGTTCCAAAAATGACCGTGATCAGTTGTATTAACATGGGTAGTCGTCTACTTACAGTTGACAAAATGCGTCGTGTCTCCAAGCAGCAACTACAGCGGCAACTATTTACTTTCCAATGAATACCCGGTCACAGCCAAACTTTCACCGGGCCCTTACTTCCTATCTCCTAATAATTCTGTCTATAAGGCCTATAGACTTTACGACGATCCTCAGAGCGCTTTCACTGTTGGCGTCGTTCAGACGACAGAAGACAGTTTTGCAGAAATATCGGCGTCTTCGTACTCGGCTCAGGCCGAGGCTGCTGTTCCTGTACCATCTCGACTCTACTATGGTACTAAGTTGGACGCCAAGCCTCTTCTAGGAGTTCGAATTGCCGTTAAGGACATTTATCACATCAAAGGGGTGAAGACCGGAGCCGCCTCTCGCGAATATTATAAACTTTACCCAGCTCGTAACGCATCTGCCCCTGCCGCACAGAGGCTAGTTGACTTGGGCGCTGTCATTGTTGGCAAAGTCAAGACGTCTCAATTTGCTAATGGCGAAAACCCGACCGCTGATTGGTATGTTAAGCCCATGTTCAAACTGATCTTTTATAAAGTAACAACCCTTTAGGATCGAGGTTCTTGCACCTTTCAACCCTCGCGGTGACGGCTGGCAATATTGCTCCTCATCTTCTGCAGGCAGCGCGGTGGCAGTTGCCTCATATGACTGGCTTGATGCAGCCATTGGAACCGATACATCAGGAAGCATGAGATGTGAGTTATCATTCTGAGCTATTGCTGGATCTTCAAGTATCTAGAACATCTGACAAAATGTCTCAGTTCCGGCTGCTTACAATGGCGTCTTTGCTGGCCGTCAGAGCCAAGGTGGAATTACTACAGACGGCCTTGTTCCCTGTTCCTCGACCTTGGATACCCTCGGAGTCTTCACACGAAGTGCGGAGACGCACCAGCACTTCCTACAGTCGTGGTATGGCATGGATACTTACAAGACTTATTCTGCATTCCCCCAAAAAGTCTTTAAGGTGACCAATGCCACAACTGGAGGATTCCCAGCAGCCGTTACTGCTGCACAGGGACTTTATGACGCGTTTATCCATAAGCTTGCGGACTTCCTACAAGCGACAGTGGTAGATCTTGAACCTTCGTCTGCATGGCTTGCAGGCGGTCCAATCGACGAAGAACTTCTCGTATATACGAATATGGTACGTCATTCACACCGGCCAGCTTTTTTCAATTGCTGACAGACATTATCCCCATAGTCTTATCTTGCCGTGGCTTGGTGGGAGCAGGTGCATTTGTTGCAAAATCCTTTTTACGCTGATTGGAGAACTTTCACTGGAACCAACGAATCTCCCAAAATTGGGCCCAAAGCAAGGGCATCGTTCAACTATGGCAACAATAACGTAACAAGAGAAAGATACGAAGAGTCACTGGGGATTATGGCTAATTTCACAAGGTGGTGGAGTGAAATCATCAATCCGCCGCACCCTGATACGTGTTCGGAAGCTATATATGTGTATCCTGCAGGCGCAAAGGGTGCCCCTACCTACCGAGATACATACCTGTCAAGCCCTAACGTTCAAGTCAACTGGCAAATTTCCCACGCTGCAGTGTATGCTGGGCTTCCCGACTATTACGTTCCTATTGGACAGGTTCAATATTTAAGTCGGCTTACGGAAGTAAATGAAACTCTACCTGTGTCAATTGGTATTGGCGCTGGCCGGGGATGTGTGAGTCTAGTCGAGCACCTTGACGTCCATATCAAGATACAAAGAACTAACATATTTTTAAGGATTGGATGCTCGCTCATCTACTAAGTGAGCTGGAAAAGGCTGGCATTATTTCACCTGTCAAGACAGGAGAGGTCGCATTTTAGATAGAAGAGCAGATCATGTACTCTGTCCACAATAAATAACCTGCATCGCAACGTGAGAATGTCGCCTAAAAGAAGTATGACAAGCGAAGTGGGATTTGCAGCTCTCAGTAAACTCGACCGCGTGGTGTTCCTCGTCATGTTGTTGGGCAACATCACAGTACTCGTCGAGGCGTTCTTTGACTTGAGCCGGGCTTATGATTTCCCTCGTCCAAGTTGTCCACACGCCTGCCGCGATCACACGTGTATTCATCCAGATCACGCGAATGCTGACACCAATAATAGCACCCCTCTTTCGGCCAAGTTGCTCTATCTGAAGCAGAAACGCCGTTACGACAGCATACGGCAGTCAAAACTTGGCATTCTTTACCATATTGAACCAACATATTTTAATATCTAACCGAACCTTGAAACGCCGAGGGTTCTGATTTGCTGTCTTACCAGGCAATTGAACCATTTTCGTGCGGCGATATACCTAAGTCCCCACTCCATATCTTCTTCGATAATGCGGGGACGCTGGAAGCAACTTCCCCGGATAAGTGATTGAATTTGAATGATGTAGTGAATGGACCTCTCTTTACTTGGTCTTTGAATTTTTCTATTCCCTCAGGGTAAGTCTGTGTGCCATTGTATCCGTATAGACGGGTATCATGAATTCCCTAGTCTTTTACGAGCTGCATTTATATATATATATATATATTGTCATCAGATCTCCGGAATTTGGCAACGAAGCATGTGGTTGGATTGAGGTTCTCGTCTGTTGTTTTGTGATGATGCTTACTCTAGCGGTGGTATGCTTTCTATGCTTTATTCTGCAGACTGCTGCGGAACCTCTACGATATGGATTGAGGGATGACGAGCCAACTTCAACACCTTCAAGCACGGTACCGGTGACAGTAACCGCATCTGTATCCTCTCCTCCCGACGTGGTCGTAACTCGGACTATTAATCGATCTACCTGGACAACCACAACTGTCGCTGTCGTGAATCTCAATTGTACGCAGCAAGTCTATGCTCCACTGCTAACAATTGTCCCTACACCATCTCCGCCGTTTTCCACGGGTGAACGGAAGGTTCACCGGCAGGAGAATACAATAACATCTAGCTCGAGCTCCATCATATTAGACATAACCAGTCAAAGAGCTCGAACAAGAACAACATATTTTTACATCACGGCCACACAGTCTGATCCGTTCACAAGAACCAGATATCAATGTGCAGCAACAATAGCATACGCGTTCACGGTTGACGCCACTACAACGATATCTTATACTCAGACACGGTATCAATCAACTGCGGTTTCTACTTCAACAATAATCTGCCCTGGTGTTGGTGGCTTCCCATTTATCTCCATCGGCGCAACGGCTGCTCCAGATCGTACGACTCAATTAGCTTTCCAAAACCGTCAGGCAACCTCGCTGGCGCCCGTAACAACGCCTTTAGTGAGCTCTATTGCCAACCTTGGCACTTTGACTACCGTCACTGTACACCAGACGCGGACAGCATACACTATCATTACTCTCAGCGTCACTGACCTCACAACCATCGTACGGTATGCTTGCAGTACTCTGCCTTTCGATGTCAGCGTCACTTATTCCGTTACTCGCACGACTTGGCCATCCACCACTACTGTTATCAGCTATCTGAATTGTGGGCGGTCTTCATTGCCAACAATTGTCCAGGAATTAAGCCTGTCAAGCGAAGAGATGATTGAAGTTGGCAGGCTGAAACGGCAGGCAAGTGACCCATCGACGACAAGTTCGCCTAGCGTGTCAAGTCCACCACAATCACCAACAATCCACCGCACGACTTATGTTGCATCACCTGTGACCATCACTGCCTCGACAGACTCGACTCGTCTGGTTTACAGCTGCTCTCCCATGCCCTCTTCTGTCATTTCTACTTCGTCCTCGCCTAATTCTACTCAGTCGAGTTAAAAGAGTTTTGAAGAAACCAATTCCTTCACTTCTTCGTGGAAACAGCGGGCTTATCAATCTTACAAAGCTAGGTTTGTACCTTGGTGTTGACAACGAATAAGGGGTAAAGTCACGTACTTAATTTTCCTTCATTGAGTAACTAAGCTTTCATGTTCTGTAACCAGCCGCCGACAGTCATTGAGATGTATACAAAGCTCCAACGGGGCCCATCCCCGAAACAGACATAGTTCGTTGCTAGGGATGTAATGAGAGGCATGAACGACTCTTGTACCTTGCTAGGGCTCTGTCCGTTCGTTACAGAATCAAGAGCCATCAATATATCTTCGCTAACGTGCGCTTTAATGTACTGCTCGACTTCTTCCGGCTTCTTCCAATGCTCTTTTGGGCGACCGAGTGCATTATATTCTTCCTCGATAAGCCGTTTCAGATCTGATGTTTCATTCTTATCATGTCTTTGTGATTCAGGAAGAAATGTATAACCTCTTCGTTTATAATCAAGTCTAGTTTGCGCAAGAGATATGATGAAGTCATAATCTCCGAGATGTTTTGAATGGTCGAATATTTGGGATAGTGTTAGTTTAGCGGATGGTGAAAGACTTGAACTTTTTGCCTCCCGCCACGTGTTGACTGTGTATGTCATACAAGCCCAGAAGATGTAACCTGAGAGTGTATGAAACCTCTCACCCAGGTAGGGTACAACATCCAAAGGCGGATCAAAAATGCGAACCAAACGATCGGAATCTAGCCAAAGACCATAGTCAAGTCTCGGACTTAGTCTTCCCGTAGACAGAAGAAAGGAGCCGCTCGGTGATATGCGCCACTTGGTGATAAATTACGTTATAGATCTTTATTAAGATTATTACTATCTACTTTCTATTCCTTAAGACTTATAATTATATCCTCGAGAAACTTAGTTTGATATTTAAGGGCTATACTATATAAGACTAGGTCTAGAATAACGTCGATAAGGTGCTTGAATATATTGAGATCGAGTAGATGCCACACCAAGAGCCGGCGACGACGAGGGACATGGAGGAGGCCAAGTAGAGAGCGGGGCTACTGCTCCGGGTGGATCAGAGAGTCTGCGCAGGCTAAAAATCTCTGGCATGCTGTAGCAAGTCTCCAGTCGTCAAGGCTTGTCAAGAATAGAATCTCTCTTGAGATCCAGTTGATATACTCATAACTTAGTAATGAGTTACATCTAACATTATAAGATATCAGATGTGCGCAAATGATGTGCAGAGAACCATAATGATAATGACCTGGCTGGCCAAGGGATGCATCGTGTGGCAGTGAAGCCACTTGATACTTCTCACAACAGAATCCCGTTGTTGCTATTTCGAGACCTACAAATATTACTAGTAATCATGATACCTTCTTAGTGCCCTTCTTCTCCTCCATGGTAGCCTCGTGACTCCGCGGACATAAAGCCTCTTATCTTAGGCAGATAACCATCAGTCATCAGCCACATCTCTGTCTACTAGGATTGTAAAGGATGATAAATCATAAGAGACCACCGTTTGAAGCCAAAAAGTGTTCTATGTCATTTGAGTGAAAGGAACACCAAGAGTGATTTCCTTCGTTTTCTTCTTGGATAGAATGGCCCAACCTGTCTGTATTATTATCGTCAAGATCCCTGTGACTAGCACGTAGATCCAAATTAAAGGAGACGCTCGCAGATCATCAGCATTCTTGAGATCAAAGAATGACATTGAGAAAAACGTCTGGAATCATTAGTCGAGCACTTGACCCTAGATCACATTACTCACCGCAGTGAAAGTAGCAGGAAGGAATAAAATGGTAACAGCAGCGATTACCCTCATAGCCGCACTATCTCGTGCTGTGGCGAGTGCCACAGTCCTGGACTCTTCGGCTATCCGAAGCATGATTTGGTTATCTTGGCGACTGAGCTCTGCCACTGATCTCATTGCTTCGCTTTCCTTGTGGCTCTCTTTGGCGATGTCACGAGACGCGCGCGCAATGTCAACATTGGTCAGATTATCCTGACAAGAAATAAGAGCGAAAACCTAAACCTTTTGAGCCTAGCCCTTCCTTCCTTCTTTCAAGGGCAGCTAAGACACATACCGTCTGAGTCTGCGCAGCAGTCCGTTCTGAGAGGTACTTGCAGCGATTCATAATCCCAAGATACCAATCTTGAAGATCAATGATCTTTGAAATGGTGTCGGTCTGGCTATCGATCAAGTCATGATTCTGGGCACTACAAAGCTCGGCCAACAACGATGCGGCTGAGAGTTCCATCTGTTTAGTGAGATAAGCCCCAGTCTCTGCTTGTAATTTCAGAAAAGAAAATCTGCTTAACAAGCTGCTGAGATCTCGTGTGGTAGATATCAAATCAAGATTCTTCCAACTTTGCGTTTCATCCGGTGTTCCATCTTGAGACTTCTCGAGTTGCCTCATCCCAGTAGTTGTTTCGATTTTGTGGATATGGTCTTGACAACTCTTAATGGTTTCAGTGAACCACCGAGCTTGCAGTTCAAGTGCTACCGTTGGAATAAACATTGGCCCATAGGGGAGAGGAGACAGGGTGTTCATATATGCGAATAAATCCAACACCGAAGTCTCCTGGGCCCCGAATATTATCGCACGTGTTTCTCCAGTCTTGACGTTGAAAGTCAAGGCAATTGAATAGCAAGAGTAGGATCTATTTTGCTGGATAATGAACCCTGTTGCTCTTCCAAGGTCAATTGATCCATTGAGAAAGGGCGAAGGAAGAATTCTTACGCCGGATTGTCCTGTCATCATTGCCCTTCTTTCTTTGACGTGGACTGATGTACCGTGCCAGGCCTGTGCTTAACACCGCGAGAAAGGAATCGGAAATATCAAACATTTGTACAATGTACTGGAAGAGGTCTCGAGAAATTGGTAGTGGGAACTTCCCGTTAGTCTCAGGAGAGACGTTTGTAAATGCCCTACACAAATAGTAAGACACGTATATGTTGACCTCTATCAGACACCCCGTACATAACGCAAACACTGGGATGAGCCTAGGATGTATTAGAATGAGTTGACAACCATAAGAACCGAATCATACTTTATTAAGAGTGT